ATGTGCTGCAGTCCTGGAACCTCTAGCTCTAGTCTTTTCTACATCCGGAGAAGAGTGTCTCGAAGTGGTTTTACCTCGGCTTGTGTCCAAATAATGACAAAACTTGTACTCATTTGCCACGTCACAGTCAGGAAAATGGCATCATAGGAGTTGGATTGCCACATCCCAGTTCAGAGATACATCTATCGTATCGATGCAACTTTTGGGCTCTTATTGTTTAGTGAGTTTGAGGCTATATATAGTGCTTATTTGTCCATGTCATATCTACAACTACCGCAGCTACCCCTACGTCGTCCACTTTACATGACGCATCTCGACCATCAATATCGACAGGTACGTGGTAAATGCTTGTTACTAACACTTTGCGGTCGACATAGTTCTACACACACTTTGTGTCGGTATTGTTTGTCTAATTTGACTATGTTCGATCAAGTGCGGGGTCTGGAAGAACTGCTCGCATCTGTCCCTTCTGGTATAGAGACTGTCGTTATTGATCAAGCGACTCCTTCGTGAAGTCACCGGTAAGTGTCGCTCTCAAGATGTGTTGATACTGAGCAACATCAGTGCCGGAATACAGGAGTTGTGCGCGTGGACAGAGCATGTTTATGGGATGATCCCGATTCGACGTTCGATGTAAGTCACGTCCGGCAAACCATGTCGTGGACGCATATGTCACTTGAAGACAGAGTTGCGGGAGTAGCAATGCTTACTGCGAGGGGACCACATAACATATGTGGGGATGTCACATAACGAAACAAACAATTCATGGTAAAGAGCTAGTCAGTGCATGAGATAGACTCACGCTTTCATGTACGACGTGAGGACTAAAGACCTTTGTGGCGATTGTCATTGATTTTGCCGACAGCATCATCAGTTCTGCCCAACACACGGTCATGACCATTGTTACTACCACCGTGGTGGACTGGTTGACCAAAAAGGTCTAATTTTGTGCCATGAATTCGTGATCGTAAAGAAGGACCCAAATATCTCGTTATATATTTGTAGAAAGCTCGTATGATCTCTCGAGATAAATTTCCATCTCCAAGATGAGTACAAACCATAAGATTTTTGTCTGGACTGACAATAGAGAGATGTATGTAAAATGATCGATTGCATGTGAAGTAAGATACCTTACGCGTGTACTGATGACAGAGACCTACCCTAATGGTACTTGTACTGGCACTCCAAAATATTGAGCACTATTACGCGCAAAGAGAGCACAGTCAACTAATCTCGACAAACTTTGTTACATGTAAAAAAGAAAGCTGTATGTAGGATAGTTTAGTCTCAATATAATTCATCTTTTATAAATTTGACAATTTGAGCTATACTATATTCATATTCTCCGTTGTCAAGACGTCTCGTACAGGAATAGTATAGTAAATAATGATCAGTGAATATATTACGAAACGTCACATGCAATTTAGCGCGTAGTGATGTCATAGCGCGCCAATTTGTTGGAGGCAACAACGTATTTAGGTCACAAGTAGCGTGCGGAACACGTGAGTCAATATTATCATACCGATACATCAATGATAAAGTTGCTTTTAACAACCCAACTAGCTTTCACAAATGCTCGCGATCACCGATCATTACGCACTTCAGCATTAATTGATTTGTAGGCCGACTGACCTCCATGGCCCATATATACGAACAATCAGGATGCTCTCAACAACACCAATCCCCCAACTTAATTAGTATCTAATTACTGTACTAAAGTTAGCACATTATTGCTATATAACATTCTTGAGGATAGCATTCATCTGCATCTATGTACTCTTGTATGTGACATTTATAAGATAGATTTGTTGCAGTTTAAAAAAGGTGTGAGAATCAGCACACCAAAAAAGTAAATTTGAGTGAAATCTGGGTGCAGTATCTTCGCATCAGTAATTACAACTGACAATTGTGGCCACCGTTCGGTCACGCATTATTATATGTTCTTTTTATTATATTCTATCTTTAAAATTCATTGAAAGGCATGACTAATGAGTCCATGCGGTGCGCGGCCAAAGCTGCACCGAGAGTTCTGCACTGTTTTTAGCCGCCTCTCAGAATTCTTCTTGTTTAAATTTGTAACAAACTTTGAGGTCCAGGATCTCCCTGAATTATTGCAAAGTGAGTCACTAACAACTCTCTTGGGTCGTGCGTTTACCTACATTTTCACGCCTAAGCCTTGCAACACGTACTTGCGCGGGACTTGATTGTCGGCTACGGGAAGTGGTATTGTTTACGAACCCACTTTGTGATATTGTTATCGCTTCTCCCTTTGTTTTACTTTGAGAATACAACACCCCTCCCTAATTCAATAAATCAAATTAAAATCAGCCTGTAGGAAGTGCAAAGGTGTTTCGTGATATGTAGTTAGGCCATGCACAACGCATATTTAGGAGATCCCGATGATGCGGAGGAATATTATGGTTAAGTAAAGGTATTGTGAGAAGTCGACTTAAGAAGCACGGCAGGATTGAGGACCATAGTGTATATTGCGTTAGCAGGTAGAAGAGAGAAAGAGTACAGCTTAGTCCTCGCAGGTAAATGCACCTGCATATGAGAACTATTTCCCTTATGTATACGCCGTGGTGGTTATCAAGGTCAAATTAAGAGTACGAGCTTAGTTCTTTTCATGAAGCCATCTTGTCACCTGGATGCGTTCGTTTCACATACGCGACCTTTGTGTTTCAAGGAACGTAACTTCATCCAGGAAATTTTATTCTAACAGCTAATATTGTGAAAGCATAGACTTTACCGGGGTCGGGTGAACATCTAACATGTGAGGAAATGGTCATGCTGACACAATCAATTGTTATAACACACGTATGTTGTCGACTCAGCATGAAAAAACTATTTGGAACTGATGCATCCAGCTACGTCTTGCACACACTGAGAAACAGGGGCTTCCTGTAAATACCTCAGAAATATATTCAAGTTGATATAAAAGGTCAAGAGGCAGGGAGGCCTGGCTACACCGCGACAGCATAAGGAAAAGGCATTTGCAAGCCGGGGCAGCAACTGTCACTCCTGCTCTACACCACATCGACGCAGGTACAACGACCACTTCCTGTAGTTACGGTGAACTTACAGAGGCCAAATTATATAATGTGATGTAAATGATGGAATACGATAAACTTATCGTTCTTACCTAAAGAACTAGGTATGCACCCAGCTCAATAGCTGCAACGTAGACAGTTTTTCGATAGTCCTTCCTTTATCTGAGCTCGTACAGCTACTCGAAAACGACTTTGCCAGTCTATTAAGGCAATAACAAATTATTTCTGCACAGTGTTGAAAGGTTCCTACAATGTATCGTCTACACTTCCAGCATGTATGCAAAGAACCAGATGCATACCGCCACTGTCAGCTCTTATATAATAACCGCCGTTTCGTATGTGAGCAAGTAAAATGATGCTGATAAAAAACTCCGAATTGTGGACCTCGCTTCTCGCATTATACAGCAAGTTCCGTAGATTTGCGACTTAAATCGCGTCATTGAAGGCGCCCACAGAACTACGTGTTACGGGATGAACTATACTGTCAGCGCGCATCTTCACTATATGGTAAAATATTGCTCATTTGAGCAAGTCACTTCTTTATTGAACAGAAGCTAGGACAACGCATCTTGCCTCGAGGCGACCTCCCGTATTACTTACCAAGATTCTGATCATACCACCAATTTCTTTTTGCTTTCTCTCTGCAATAGTTATACAGATAACGATGTGGCAATATCGAAGGTCAGAAAATCGACCTGATCTTCTTCTCTACAGTATGTAAAGTATGCTTGTACTGAAAAGAGGCACCAAGCGCTTGTACACACACATTGCAAGCTACTTATATTGCTCGCAGTATCATGCGTGCCTCGAAACTTCACGTCTTCATATCGGCGGAGTGTTGAAGGGAATCGAGTACATGGCCAAGTTGATTGCGCAATTGTCTGCTACAGGATGTATCAAGTAGCGTTCAGTTACAGTTCAAATGACTGAACCCATCTGCACCAACGGTATAGTTGTGGTGCTGGTAGACACAGACTAGTTATCATGTGTACGATGCATGTATATAGTGAATGGACACGAAGAGCAAAGGAGCATCAACTGCTTGGAGAGCATTAACACACCACTCAATACATTTCTAGCTTTTGCATTAACCACTTGTGCAACAGTGCATCACAAGCTTGAACCCCATATTTGCACACGGAGAAGGGTGGGTTTGATAAGAGCACGCTTCGTAGAAGAGAAAAGCAGACCTGTTGTCGATATAGTTTGAAGTTTTCGTAATATAGTTTTTAGATACATATTGGTCTCACAGTTACTAAAGCAAGCTGCAACTTCTCAATGTAGCCATCCGCAAAACAATGCGCGTCTAGCAGCGATTTGTGGTTTAGTTGGTTGTTATTAAGAGACTATATTGACCAGTAAGTGGAGCAGTGCCGAATATTACCTTCGAAGGTAAACTTCTACCTAAATTTACCTACATGGATGAATGTTGGCAAATATTATCAACCAACATGAAACCCACATGAACTTATTTTGTGTCGTTATCATGCAACGGGCTAACGCCATCAAACTTTGCCGCTTCCGTCTGCTTACGAGGAAGGTGGTGGGAAAGACAATCGACTAACATGGTCAAAAAGCATCTGTCAGCAACGCCTTGACATCGATTCCGTTCTTGCCTGGTGCCGCTTCATTCTGAAAGTGCACACCAATAGTTTTATAGGGAGGACAATCGAAGCCACTTTTCGCCATCGCAACAGCCACTCCGATCTTAACAGTACTTGAAAACGACAAAACCGATAGTGCCATCCATCGCATATACTCATTCGATGCATTACGAGGTGCAAGACGTGCTCCACGTCTCGCTGCTCCCTCTCAGTCGTAATAAACCAAACACGTATCGCTGCTTTTACTCGCGCGCGCTCTCTCCACCCCTCCCTCTCCAATAGCATACTCCTCTCCAATTGCATACCCCTCTCTTTGCCACCTCCGGCCTCTCTCTCATTCGCTAAAATGAGCCGCGCGACCGCCAGCGGCCGTCCCCGTCGGCCCAGCGCCGCTGCTGCTGCTCCTCCTGAGCCCGAGACGCTCGTGCTGCGCGCTACACCGTCGATCAAGCGCTACAACATCGCGCGCTTCGACGTGCCCGAGCTGCCGCACTTCAGCGCGTGTGCCCAGCCCGTGATGATGTACCGAGAGCCCGAGCGCGTGGACGACGAAGACGAGAAGGACGACGACGCGCCCGTGGGGTTCAATCCCGCGCTGCGGAAGCGGCGTCGCCGTCGTCGCAAAGACACGCGCACGGCTGGCTGGATCATTGAAGACAGTGCGGGGCAGAACAAGTTCAACGGCACGTTCGAAGGCGGCCAGTCGTCCACGTACATGCTCTTGGTGAAGAACCGGCACAATGACGAGTTTAGCGTCATGCCCGTGGAGCAGTGGTTCCGGTTCAAGAAGCCGCTGAACTACCGGACGTTGACGCTCGAGGAGGCCGAGGAGATGAACAATGAGAAGAAGCGCGCGGTCGAGCGCTGGCTCATGAAGCACAGGCTCGCTGGTGAAGACAAGACGGACGCTGCAGGCGCCGAGACAGTGAGTGCACCCCGTGTCCGCACGGGCGCGATGCCGACTGCTTCGTCGTATTCTGCTGCTGTAAGTTCGGCAAAGGGGACAGCTGAGGGGGACGATATCTTTGGTGCCGCGGAGACGGTGCGTCGTCCACGTGCTCCGCGGTCGAAAGCGCGTGGCGAAGGAGCGACAGGCGAAGATGGTGGTGACTTTGAAGAAAAGTTTGATGATGACGAGAGTGATGCTGAGATCCATCACGACGAACCGCAAGGGCTGGAGTCGGACTCGGACGAAGATGAGTTTGAAGTAGACCCGGAAGGAACTGGCAAGTTGACGGAGACAGGTCAAGCCATGAAGGACTTGCTGAAGCGTGCCCAGAATGGAGAGATGCTGGAGAACAACAAGGACAAGGAGGACGAGGACGACGATGAAGAAGACGACAATTTCACGGCCAAAGATATGGATGTCATCAAGCGTGACCTGGGCGGGAACATCATCCGCGACCGGTCCGTTGCTATGGAAGATGACGCTGCCTCGGGCGATGTCAAGGCTGCAGACAATGCTGCGGATGCTGGCGCTACTGTAGACTTGAACGGCAAGGCAAAAGGTGCAGCAACGGTCGGTGCTGATGGCGCTAGCGGGAAGCGGAAGGCGGACGACAGCCGTGCGAAAGAAGAGACGTCCCAGAAGATGTCGAAGACGTCGGCAGCTGCGTCTTCTAACAAGCTCACGGAGGCCGGTGTGCAGCAGGAGCTTATTCGCTACGGCGGACGCATGCGCACGCGAGATTTGCTGCGGAAGCTGAAGAAGCTGATTACTACGGACAATGATAAGGCTCTGCTGAAGGACATTTTGCGTACCATTTGCGACGTGGAAGTCGACGCAATTGACGGTCGCTTGCTGGTGTTGAAGTCGCAGTTCCGTTAATTTGCTGCGAGGGCTGCGCGGCGTCAACGCTCGGTCAAGCAGATGAGGTTTATACACCAGCAGGCAACTTCTCGATGTGTCTGCAGTCCACTGGCATGTCGTTGGCGTAGCTTTGTTGTACGATGCTCTTGCGAGGACCCAGAGAGGCAGTGGCGTCACTCTGGTCGTGCATTCGGTACCTTTTGTCGTTGTGTGATAAGCTAGAACAAGTTGGACGTGGCATGATAGCGTTGACCTCAATGCTCACTCAATCTCTGAACTGCGCGTTGCCATCACGTCTGTTTTGCCCTTTCGTGACCATGAGCGGTTGAGTAAAGGTACATTTCTGTAGCAAGCATTGCAAAGCTGCGCCTAGCAAGTCACCACCGTAGTGATCGTTGTGATACGAACGAATCCTACTGCATATCGAATGCAAGTTAGCTTTTCGTTAAATCCGACCTCGACGCCCGTCGAACACCGATACTGTTCCATGTCATGTATTGCGTTCGGCGATGAAAAGATATCTTACCGTTGTCAATCCAGGTCTGAGCCTATTTCGCTCATGCTTTACTATAAATGGGATGGTGTCGTCCTAGCCACGACGAATATCCAGCACCACTGAGCGGCTTCTCGCCTTTATCCCCAGACGTTCTGAGCCTAAAGATGAGCAAATATGCAGACCAAAATGTAAGGCCTTATCGCACACGTACTTCATGCTGAGTACCTGCTCTTCCTCGCGTGGTCATTTGCAACTGCCGCCCTTGATTCCGGTATTTGTAAAGCAGTGGTCTACTTCAATGTCGTAGCCTGTCACTTCCTGGAGCCACTGTTTTTGCTTACTTGTGAAGGCAAAGCCCACGTATGTAAGCCTTGCACGAACCGTTCAGCGCTGATATCGTTAGAGGAAGGTGGATCCGAAGGAACAGAAGCACTATCTTTTGATAACGATCGTAGCTTCCATATGCGCACACGGACTCTTCGCACGCATAGATGGGCTGATCGTCTACGCATTGCTTGGAGCGCATGGTTGCGGTTATGGTAGTATGAACGTACTGACAGGACACATCGGCGGATCGTCGACATAGAAATTTCCTGGATATTGCAATTGCATCGTCTGCAACATCATTGCGAAGCTCTCGAAATAGTGCAAATGTAACGCCAGAGTACCTGCAAAGATTCCTCGCATCGTAAAAGGCACGTGTTCGATACCAGTCGTAAGGATGGTAAGGGCCTCATTGCGTATGTGTCCAGGATGAAGCTCCCGCACCTTCTCTAGGTGACGTCAAAGCTCGAAAAACGACAATTTCATCATCATATGAGCCGAAGAAATGACCGAGGAGAGTGATGCGGGTCTCAACACCACCATTATTGAACTATATCCGATCAGATGGCGTGACCGCTTCCGTTCACGGATATAGTTTTGTCAGCATACCCATGATGCTGTAGCACAATTACATATGCAGTGCTTTGTCAGATCATAGCATGAACTGTGATAAAGCAGTTTGTAGTGAAAGCATTGCAACAGCTTTACTGTGCTGAGAACATGCAGCGGTGATCATGTTACAATCGATAGACCACTTCATCGCCGATTCTCGGAAAGCAGGGGTGCGATATGCTCTAATAATGTCGACACGTAAATGCGATAAGCACGGACCATCCGTGTGTATCCTTTGCGAAACTTACGTGGAGAGATCAGCAATTGTATAGACGTATGCTATCAACACCGTTTAATGACGCATTGGCAGATGTGGAATCCACGTGTTTTTACGAAAGATCTAAAACGCTCATTTCATAATTAATCAAGGGACGAATCGGAATGAAGCAGTTGTTATGCACGTAAAGTATGATCGATATCGCCATAAATGAAGCGAAAATGTCATAATCGGGACGGCTTACTATTGTAACGCATTTACCATTCGTAGTTCGGTCTGCTTGGCGAGTGGGGCTAGCTCGTAAGCCAGCGCTTTTTTGGGATTATTCGGAGTTCAACAAAGGCCCTTACCAATATAATTGTAGTGTACATGCGGTACATTTGGCCGTTCATTATTGCATAACTTGCTTGAGCATCCCGATAAACACAAACACATAGATGGTCTCGACCAACGAATAGTGAATGTAGCATTTTGTAATAGACCATAAGTTCCAACCAATCACCAACTACTTCTCGACGTGATGCAGAAGACACTCCATTCTAGTAGTAATTTTTGAGAAATCGTAACTTGTGAGATATCGTCGATCGTATACCCAAATGCCTTATATACAGCGTACCAAAGCCCCTGCCTGATGGACGGTACACGAAATGTCTACCAGTCGACCGAAAAGTCAATGATACTTCAGCAGAATGAATGAAATCGTTTGCTAGCGAGTACGATAATACGTGCGTGTCTCAGCTGCGACCACAGTGTAGGCCTGACCTTTGCGGCCGTAAGCGGAAGCATATTGATGCGCTCTTCGCTAGGAATAGTTTTTCTAGTACCCTCTGCGAGCAGTTTTACATTCTAGGCGAATCCTCTTCGTGGGCCGTATTTGCGCTCGGGCAGAAGGCTGGTGAATCGAGTACGGATGTAGAATAGCTCCAACTTGCTATAGCTGTCGTTGGTGATTTTTGACATTCCATTGACCACGAAAATTTCAGCCCATTCCATTCCTCATCTTTTGGCCTGCACTCTGTGCTGCCTCTCGTGGCGCACACAACGGCAGTAATATCTCCCGTTACCTGGGCTTTACTATCTGGGATCTTTCGGTCAGGTTAAGATGGCTAAATACTTGGAAGTATTCAACTCGTTACTATTGTTTGTGAAGAGCCCAAAATAAGATGTTACGACCAACAGTACTTACCGATCCATCTTGATGCGTCACCTCAGCATTTCTCTCGCGTAAACGTCAGTCGACAAAAATGTAGTGTAAATTTCTTGCTGTTAGGAGTCAACTCACAAAGGTAAATACAGAGTGCACACAATTCGATGCAAAATTCGAAAAGTTCAACTGACTTCGTTATCTTTTTCTGGATTCCAGCAAATGTCATTGGCAGAAGATGTTACTGAATGAACCACCGACAGCTGCTTTACGCAAACATGATGCGACAATGATTCTCGTACCACATTACTGGAACATCCACTTGATGCGTGACCTTCAATAATCCTCCAGGTCGGAACTGTGCTTAACAAAACACTAGATCCTTGCTTTGACACATTCGACACGAATCAATTTGTTCCAAACCGTCGATTTGGATCAATTCAACCAGTCTTGGCTAGCCAATGCCTTTCCCAGTATGTCCGCAGGCATAATCGAAGTTTCTCGACACTCGAGTTTATAATTCCACACTTCGTACGATCACCTACGAACTTGATTCGCACATCAATATCAATGACCTAGCTCGATGCCTTCTCTCGGTCGAGCAACTTCAAAATGTGTTGTTATCCACTCGCACTGGTGCTAGTTCCTCAAACTATAAATTAAACTCTTGTAAACTTCGCGAGCACTCAAAACGTTTTCGAGCTATAATTGGTGCATCAGTAATCTCGTCCCCATAGTTCAAAACGACACTCAATCTGGATTCTTGCATACCTAGCTCACTGGCATGTCGTCAATCGAAGATTAAATTACCAGTGAAGGACTTTATGTCACCCTTGTCAGAAGCAAACTTTGTATAACTGTTTCAAATTGCTCGCAAAATATCGGATGTACTTATTTTTGAAGTCAATAGCGACACAATGTTTTTAGTCTCAGACAGATTCCGATCCATCCTCTTAGCAAAAATGATAATTATCTGTTGCTGGATGATAGATCCGTATAGACGATTTGTGAACCTCAAATGAGATGTCTGTCCTAATTTATTGCGAAGTTCATCGTGACTGGCAAGATGCATCGCGACATTCATAGCAAACTTCCAAAGAGTGAATGGAAAACGTTTATCGTCTCCATAAAATCTCCTTTGAATACTGGCAAAGGTACAATAGACGATATTTTGATCTCATTGCAATCTTGGGGTACGGGAACACTTGCTCTGTGTCCCATTTCGAAGCCGTGCTTTTTAAGCATGCCGCAATATTCATTTCTTATTCTGAATCGTACCACGCTTCTATATCATTTAACTACACATGCTTATAATCTTACGACGACGTCCTAGGTTCTTCACTGACAGCGAAATTTACTCGTCGGAGAAATTGCCCACAGAACTTTGGTCAGTTTCCGTAATCAGTAGGCCATCCACGTCACATTCCGCCAATCAATCTCTGAACACGTGTCCATGACACACAAATACACATATCTGTGATATTTTATATAGAGTCAATATTAACCAACTTCTGTTGTAATTTACTCCACGGTCCTTCTCCTTGCTTCATCCCGTACAACGATTTTTCTAGCTTCAATGGGAGGCTATCGTTGCTTGTCACACCCAATATTTTCTTCGTGACTTCGTCAACCTGCATTACCTGCGGTAAGTGGATGTAGATACCAAAGTCTTTGTCCTTTAGCTTTCACATAAGCGCTTAGTTTATCACCGTGCTTTGCAGGTACTCTCCATTTTCTTGCTAGAGCAAAAACAATTTCGCTGCGAATGTCGATCAAAGCTGCAATTGTAACTCCAAAATTCACCTTGAAACTTGTTCGTACCCACATGAGACAGATCTCGCCTTTAAATACTCAACACCACCTTAAGCGTCGCGCTTGTCTGTAAAACAACTTTTCGACAATTATCGAACATTTTGGAAGCCTTGACAATGCCCCAAACTCCATTATCCTTCAGAGCTTGCGATTCTCCCAAAATCAGTTTCATCCACCCTCCATTGTGATTAGTGCGCATAGCTTGACCAAAATTTCTAGGATCAGATGTTGTGACCACGTTTACAACAGACTCTTGATTGTCCAAACGCTCAATTCCTTGGCCATGTCATAGACTTTATTCTTTGGATACAGACCTTGTCACAAATTTCTTATTTCTTGCCACGGATTTATTCTTCATCTTCAATATTTGGTACTTACGACTTGCCGAATCCTTCAATGTTTGGGATTTGGGA